TTCCAAAAGTGCATTCATCTTTGCCATGTTACATTCATTTAGTTGACTAGTGCTAAGCGCTGTATTAACAAAAACATTAATGACATTATTAAAAACACTTACACTGACAAGCTACGCAATATCGCGTTCATAATCGAATGCGACTCATCTGGTGTTTGTCGCGGTTTGGAAAAAAAGGGAGAAAACATGACAGATTAACTTGGCGGATAACGCATTTTGCGTCAAATTAAAAATGGACTTTTCAATACCGACCAGATATAATACTGATTTTGGCGGAAACTCAGTTTTTAAAAAAAAATGGCGTTTATCGTGTTTTGGAACCAAACTCTTCATATATATATATATATATATATTTGATGGGTAATCTGTAACTGAATTTTTATAATCATACTTTCTGTAAAGTCCACATGAATAGAACAGCTTTTGGTACTTCTAAGAACTTGTACAGGGTAATACTGGTTGAGAGAGACAGAGTTTTGAGTTATCCAGCAAAGATGATTTCTATGTTAAAACACATCCAGAGTATTATTAGTTTCAGGAGGTATGCGTGGACCGGCTGGACCCGCTTGAGACCTATAAAGATCATGTGACCACAACCACATTCTTCCTCTGAGTAAAGTTTCAGCATGTATTTGAGCTGCTAAATGCATTCACAGATTCATACTGTATGCTGTTTCAGACCCTGGATCATCTGTACCTCTGTTTTATAATTGTATTGTTTAGTGAAAGCATAAACAAAGAACCACTTAATAACGGTTGCTCATTCTGCTGCTCTTTGTATGACACATTTTTCTAGCCGAGTGTTTACAGAATATCAGTGTAGAAGCTTAAATGATAGACCCTACTTTTTAAGGTTGTTACAACTAGGGATGGGTACCGAAACCCGGTATTTAATCGGTCCCGGGGCTAAATTATGAAAGACCGGAGTATTGATAAGCTCTGACGTTAACGGTTCTGCTATCGGTACTGGAGAAATTAAGAAAACACACATACATTTATTATTGCTATATATACATTATCTTGCAAATTCTATCTCACCAGAGTCGCCAGCTGTTTTTCAAACATTTGTCTATGATGCATTTTTGCTATTCGCAATTCAGAAGCGAGATCGCGCTCACGCGGAGGAGCTTCAGCACGCGCAACATGAAAGCCCTGTTTAATTATGATAGAAGAGAGAACTAAACATTCAAACATCTGCTTACACTTTAGGCCTGTGGCTGTTTTATTAAGCTAATTTTATTTTGTATTTCGATTTTGGCTTCTAGGGATTATACAAAAGAAGACATGAGGTAAAGCTATTAAAAACTAGATGCATTTCGTCTTGCGCAACTTCTTTCCCTTCACAGCGGTGAAACCCAAACTTAACGTCAGAATCAGCTCAATCCGTGATTGTTGTAAGATGCAACAACCCGGTTCAGTTTAATAGGTTTTGGGATGAAGATTTTAAGTTTAGTGTGAATATTTTTTAGAGAGAGATCCTGTGAGTGTAATTATAATTTTTGACCACTTGGTGGCAATGTCTCCAAACTGCTCAAAGCCAAGTTTTAAGCATAATAGTCCTTTTTGAGATTTATTTAAAATTAAATTTGTCATACCAAAAATGTACCTCCCTTGCAGTGGTTATGCTTTTTTTTTTTTTTCATAAGTGCTTACATAACTGTTTTTAAGTGTGCCTATGAATAATGTGTTCTGTTGCTAAATCCTGAAAACAGAAACAGCTGCTGCCACAAGAGGGCTTTCTAAGACCACTAAGTGGATGCAAAATTTTATGCAAAACTGTAGATACTTTTTTAATATATAAAATAATTATCTTACATCATGGGAAATCAATGAAATTCACTTCTCAATTCTCCTGTGGAAACATTTGTGTTGAATTTCTTAGTCTGTTTTTGTCCTTCTGCATCACCCTCCATTGTCACTGATGAAAGAACTTATATAAAGAGAAAAAGAGACTGGCAGACTTTTTATGTGATTTGTTTAGCCTTTTCTCTTTTAAGTTTTATAGAGATTAAGTGATGGAGATCTCATCTCGCAGATGTCAGCTTTTGGATGATGTAATTGCTTTTAAACGTTTTAATATTATGTCTGCGGCTTGTTTTATTCATATTGCAGTCCAAATGTCTCATTCACTGTCTATGTGTATATGTGGGGAAAGTGTTGTTATATAGTTTGTTTAATCTGTGCAATATGATGTGCTGTATTTCTCTTTATTTGAAAGGATTTTCCATGTGTTTCTGTTTTTGGAACAATGGTCATATTTTGATATATAATGCAGTCCATGATCAGTGTATTATTCTGTTCCTATCTGTGAGGAAAATGAGTTGGCATTCAAATGTGGCACACTGTGCACATACAAGAAAATTTGCATGTATGAAACTGAACAACAGCAAGCCAAAATAGTGCCTTTTGTACTAGGGATAAATGATCAGCTCCAGCCACAGCAGATGGCATGATTGAAAGATGTGACTCTTTATACCTGTAGTTTGTATGCAGTAGGTTGTGCTTTGGTTGTGGATTTGGGTTTAATTAAGTTTGCAGCCTTTGATTGAATTACTTTGTTGTGGGCATTTCTTACATTGTAGTGCTGATATTACCTCAGTGGTAACATGCTTCCCCCATTGTCCGTGCTTTTGATGAGTATCCAAGGCTTTTCTGATGAGTTAAACCATCCGCAAGACTGATTCCTTTCTTGGTGACTGGTTTAAGGCTGCTGACATGCTTACCAGGCCTTGTTTTCCACTCACTGCACAGTGCCCGCTCCAGGCGGTCATATTAAACCTAATTAAACCATGCTTTCTCAAGCTAATTTGAGCAGGGCACTCAGCAGAAAGGTTATTGGATGTTGCAATAGTACAGTGGAGGGAATAGGGGTTAATTACAGTTAATTTTTCTGTCCTCCTTTTTTTGGGGTTGAGTGAAACTTAAGGGGCGCTGAACTCATATCTGTCTCTCAGACATTCTTAATGCACATTTCTGATGTTCTTGCATTTGGGAACGCTTCTTCTTTATGAGCTTCTGCTGATTCAGATGTTACTGAA